TCAATAGAGATAATCACCCATCTGAATCATGTTGTGATGGCTAGACTTGTTGTGCTCTGCATAGGACACCATGTTGGCTCTATGCTCTCCACTGATGCAGCAGGGCAGCCCTGGAATCACCCTCCAGAATCTGATGTATTGAATAGGGGCAGCACCTATAACCACTTGGGTGTCCCCACTTTGAAAATCTAGATTCATGGAAATATCCCACCATACTATACTATTGCACTATTCTGGTTTAGGGATTATTACCTAGATCTACATCATGAAAATATAAGATTTAGGTACCAAAAACGATTTAACCCTAGGTACCCCCATGTACACCTTCTGGTCTTATATTTTTACTAACTTAGTTTAATTACACAAATTCAAGTAGCTACAGATGCTGTTGTATGATGTGCATTTTATAATGAATCATGATAGTAAATAATAGTGTATTTGAATAATCTAGGCATGGGTCTGCATTGGCTCCATACATCCAATCCATTTCACAGTAGTTGAAGCTTCCCTTAATATATGAGGGACAAGTGGGACAGAGAGACACTAGCCAAGTGACTGGCACATCAGAGGTTGGAATTCAAATCACTATATATTTATATATCAATGTCTCATATTTAGTACTTAGTTACTGGTTTACTCACTATAATAAACTGAGCAGTATCATCACATGGCAAATCCAAATGCCTAAGTACTATCATCTGCTGCAAAGCAGCCAATCAATATTATTCAAAATGCAAATGAAAAAATCAAGCAGGAGCTATTGGCAGATTTTCAAGTAGCCTAAGCAATATATCACCAAGGCATTGTACATCTAGATGTATGATTAGTAAGAAGAAACCTATAGGCAGAAGAAAAGACAATAGAAGAGGAGAAAAATAAAAATAAAAATAAAAATAAAATAAAAATAAAAATAAAAATAAAATAAAATAAAATAAAAATAAAAATAAAAATAAAAATAAAAATAAAAATAAAAATAAAAATAAAAATAAAAATAAAAATAAAATAAAAATAAAATAAAAATAAAAATAAAAATAAAAATAAAAATAAAAATAAAAATAAAAATAAAATAAAAATAAAAATAAAATAAAAATAAAAATAAAATAAAAATAAAATAAAAATAAAAATAAAAATAAAAATAAAAATAAAAATAAAAATAAAAATAAAAATAAAAATAAAAATAAAAATAAAAATAAAAATAAAAATAAAATAAAATAAAAATAAAAATAAAATAAAATAAAAATAAAATAAAAATAAAAATAAAAATAAAAATAAAAATAAAATAAAAATAAAATAAAAATAAAAATAAAAATAAAAATAAAAATAAAAATAAAAATAAAAATAAAAATAAAAATAAAAATAAAAATAAAACGAAGATAGAGCTATTAGGATGGCTAGCTAAAAGTAAGTTTTATTGTAGCATAATAGTAACAGAATAGATACTTATTATGAATCCAGAATGCTTGTAGTTCCTCATGTGGTTAGCATTCAGTATGTCCTTATATTATTTAAGAGAGGTCACACATTCCATAGCCAACCAGCAATAACAATTATATTTGTCAATAATCATACAGTTCATAACATTGTAAGTTGTGGCATGCATCTATGTAGTGATAGTAGTAGTTATATTTATTGTTGTACTGGATGGTACATATAAAAGTGCTAAGTAGATCAATAAGATCTCATACCACTATCTTGTTACTTAAGAGTTTTATATAATATAAAAATATAATTGTATACAGTCAGACTTCTTATCAGTCCTTAAATTTACAATCTCCGACTTTTTTAGTTTTTATAGAAGGTAATATAATGAGTTCTTGGAAGGATTTCATTTGTTGTTCTCTTTCTATAGTCTCAAACAAGGACATTCTGTGTTCTGGATGTACATTAGGTATATTTCAACCTATGAAAGTCTATTTCAACTTAGTCATATTCTTCTAATTCATATTTTCTCTTTTATTAAAAGAGAGAGTCATTAGTATATATGTAAAACTTAGTTAGTGAGCTGTTTGATAATTATATAGTCAACCCCTGGAAGATAGGATATAACTTAGAGTAGATAATAATATCAATGCTACCTTAAGGCACTGTATTAACCTGTACTTTAAATCTTATTGATCTCATTGTTACAACCCAATAACAAATTAGCACTGGGCAGAGACTAGGGCTCAAACATAAGATAGTCACAACAAAGAAGATTGTATTGAGCAGGTATGTTTGGGCTAGGATAAGTAATGTACAGATAAGAGATTTAAACTAAGGAACTAGTAACTACAAATGAGCTTCCTATATACATATGTTAAAGTGGAGATCAAAACTGAGTATCAACTAACTACCAATCAGAATAATTAAAGGTATTGTACAATTCCATATATATCTATGATGTTATAACATGTGCTACAGCCACAGCAAGGTTCTGGAAAATTCCAAGAGTATCACATGTCATAATATCATCAAGTTCAGATTCTTCCAATAAGTTATATGACTAAGGCATAGGTGATTTTGGTAATGCTATAATAGATGTAATCATGGAAATATCAAATATCTTTCACAGTAAATATGTTCTTCAAAGTAGACACTGTGACTAGGTGCTTAAAGGACTTAGAGTTCAGAAAAGAATAGTGATTTGTATTGGATACTTGTGACACTTATACAGTTCAAGATAAAAGTCAAGTGGGAGGATTATTATGACATAGTGAAAATGAGGTTTTTTTATATCTTTTGGAAAATCCCTTAATAAGCATCATTTATCAGATGGATTAGTAAGAATATAGCTTACAAACTAGGCACATATAATGTAATAAACTAGCTTCTTACTAAGTATATTACAAAGCATTGCAAGTCATGACAAACATAATGAGTCATGATTGTTACAAATTAGATCATTTCCCAGTCATATGATGTGCTGACAAACAAATCTGGTGGCTGAAAGAAGCTAAATACAAAACAAAACAATGAACCAAGAAAAAATACAGAGATAACCCAATGACAAAGAGGTAGACAGTCTCCTTATTACTCTCTATATAACTAGTATAATATGAATCATATACCATGCATATCACTATGTCTCCACAGTCTTCTGTGTCCTTGCATTCTTAGAAATATACTTTAGCCTATATCCTTTAGAACAAATTGGAAAGATCATAGGTATGTTGCTGTTGGTTGATTGCCATGTATATTGGATTAACATTTTATGAAGCAGAGGTACTTAGTTGTGGGATAGGCATAATGATTAGTACAGTTGATATGCTCATACTGCATATCGTCATTATGCATATATGTCATAATGCACGGAGTTTTGAGGATCCCAGCATAGGCAGACTAAAATGCAAACATATTGCATAAGGAATAATGCATTGCTATTATATGGGTGATATGCATTATCAGAGGGTTGTAACTAGGGCAACGAGACATAGTAAGTAGCGCTCAAACCATTGTTCTACAAGCATTGTCCTACCCAGCTATGTAAGTGTGGAATGAATTGATGTCCTGACTCGTAAAAATGTCCTTGAACTTGAAACAGAAGCCACACGATAAGCCTGCCGCATACACTCGACCTGCAAAGAAGCAGAAGATTACAAGTGACACTCCTCGTACATCTGCTCAACCTCCTAAATGCTCAAATTCACGTCAAAATCTTACTCTTGCTGACTGGCTGTCAGTCTATGCCTTTGTTGATGCTCATCCTCATGCCAGCCAGGCTGACATTGTCCGACACTTCAAATCACTCCCAACCGGTGCACTCAATTTCAATCAGTCAACACTTTCTCGCAAATTACGAACCCACCCAAATATGGAAGCTCACATCAATGAGAACCCAAATGCACTGTCATCAAAATGGCCGAGAGTTGTCACTCGACCAGACGTTGAGCGTGCCTTAGTGCTATGGATCCAGCACATGGAACATAAAGGTGAAACTGTAACATCACATATGTTATACGAGAAGCAGAAGAGGTTCAAAAATGAATTTGATGTGCCAGAAAAGGAGAGATTGCTTGGCGAGGCATGGGTACAGTCATTCTGTAAAGCCTATAAGCTCCGTGAATGCCGCTGACATGGTGAGGCTGGTTCTGTTGATCGCAAGGCTGTTGAACACGAGAGGGAGCGTTGTCACAGAATTTTGGCAAAGTTTGCCCCACAAGATCGGTGGAACTTTGACGAGACATCATTCTTTCCTTAGTGTGTAGATTAGTTCCTGAATAATGATGGCTAACTTAATTATTTGTAGTGCGCCCCCTGACCATGGTCTTGCATCACAGCAGATGAGCGGCAAGAAGAAAGAAAAATTTCGCATTTCTATTGGGCTAGCATGTAACGCTGATGGCAGTGAACGGCTTGAACCTCTCTTCATTGGAAGAGTGACAAAACCACGATGCTTTAAAAAGCAAACACCCGAACAGCATGGGTTTTATTACTGCAACAACAAAAAAGCTTGGATGACATCAGACATTTTCGAAGAGTAAGTTCGATGGTTCAATGTTCATGTCCAAGTCTAATCAATCATAATTTAGGTGGCTCAAGAAGCTTGATCTTCAAATGAAGCAGCAACATTGCCACATTTGCTTGTTTGTTGACAATTTTTCGGCCCATTATGTCTCATATCAGCCTTCAAACATCGATGTTGAATTTTTCAAGCCCAATATGACATCATATGTACAGCCATGTGATGCTGGGATAATCCGGTGCTTCAAGGCTTTGTATTGTCGCAGTTTTTGTGCCCGCGCCATTAATCTCGATGAGGCTGGTGAGCAGAACATTTATAAGCTTGACCTTCTAGAAGGCATGACACTGGCAAAACAAGCCTGGAATGTGGTGTCATCAGAAACAATTGAACACTGCTGGGATCATGCCCAAATTCAACCGTTAGTTAAATTTTTCGTTATTCTGATTTCATCAATGCTAATTTACAACATCATGTATCATACAGTGATTTATTCACAGACCCACAACCTCATGTTGATCTTGCTGCTTGGATCATTGTCCGCAAGTTTGCAGGGACCGAGATGTCACTTCCTGATGCAGAAAGTGAACTACAAGCCCATCTTGGTGACTGTTTTGCAGATGCCAACTGGAGACCAGCACTCAAAGCTGTCATGGATGCTGAGGGAGATATGGATCTTGCTTTGAGGGCAGTCAATTCACTCGAGAAGGCTGCATTTGGACGTACTGGTCTCAAACTTCAAATTCCTGCATGTCAACAAAAACTAGCTCAACTCGCTGCTGCAGAACAGGAACTTATGGGATCAATTAATGATCTCAAGGAATGGAAACACACTCTTGGTACTTTACTAACCATTGACGAAATTGTGGACCCTGCCAAGGAGAGGGATAATGGAGATCTCCCGAAATTTGAAGGTGCCAGTGAGCAGGCTATTGCTGATGAAGTCCGTCGCAAGATTGCAGTCACAAATGGTGAAGTTATCGAGATCAATTCAGATGATGAGTCAGAAGATGATGGGCCATCATTCACGTGCGCAGAAGTTTTCAAATTGTGTCAGCAGCTCGAAACTGGATGCATGCAACATTGTGATCCACAGGTTTCCCTTAATTTGTCATCACAACTCCGTGTTTTTTGTGCTCAGTTACAGCGAGAGGAGCTACTGAATGCCAAGCAGACTTCTATAGATTGTTATTTCAAAGCATAATACACATAGGCATTGTGGATACTGTACTTTTCGTGTCACAAATTTGGCAGACGTCACAAACGTCACACCTGTGTGACATATGTCATCGTGCATATGTCTTATAATGCATCAAGTTTTTGCCACCCCAACGGTATGCATTATGAGCATATCAACTGTATATGATATAATAAAGGTCTTAGAATTAATTATATGGAGTTAGCAATGGTTTGAATATTAGTTAAGCTATATGATATGACAAATATTTCTTAGTATTCATTACAGTACTGGTACCAGTAACTATACATCTGATATCCATCTCACTCAAAAATTACTAACATGATCTAGTAGTTTGAGCTGGACTAAGTGTTAGCTTGAGGTGGTATGCAAGCAGGTTAGTACTACTCTGAAGGGTGGAAAATCTACAAATTTAATCACAATAACAAACTATTAAATAATAAATGCCTATCAAATGAATATATATTGCAAAGCTCACTGATATATGGATAATTCATCAAAAAAACAATCACATTATGTAAATTGATAGTAGGATACAAAAAAGAAATAGTATGAGACCAGGCAGATAATTAGTAAAACACTTTGCAACCTAATAGTATAGCTAGCTAAGTAAAAAAATGATCATGGTCTTAATTTTAACCTCATGCCAAGATAGGAATTGGCATAGGTAAATTAAAGATCAGACCCTTATCTGCACCCAATAGTGACTCATACCTATACTAGCAGTTACTTGGATCTGTACACCTAAGCTATAGTCTTATAATAGGTAGTGATGAGTGTGTGAGGAGGGTACTTAACAAGTATAATATTAAGATATGGTATAAATACAAATAGTTGGAATAAAAAGAACAATATTAAAAATAAAAATCATTGCACATTTCACAGACTGTCCAAAGCAGTGGCTAGAACACTAGTGGGACTCATAGTAGCTTTGGGAAACTCACTAAAGATTGCTAAAGGCACCAAACTTGGATAAAGCTGGACCAAGCCACCCACCCAATGCACGCAGGACATGCAGCACGCCTCGGCATGATGGCAGAGTCCGAAATTCATGCCTGCCCTTCAACCACCACATCCTCGTCGCTCTGCATGACTCAAAGCTTTGCATACTCACTCGCGAAAGGTCCTAACCACCATGGAACCCACTCAGCTACATATCACCCATGGGAAAGGGAAAACTTGGGGCCCTGCTCTAAACGCTATACTCTGGGTTCTGAGGGGGAATGAATTCAAATCTCACTCTGTTCACCAGTTGGAGCAGTATATCCACAACTATGTGCCTGCATGAAACAAGCAAAGCAAGAAGTGGTGAGAACCCTACACTACGACAAAGCCCAAAGGACACTGAGTGGCTGACTAATCTATGGTGCTCCTCGGCTGCTGCTCTGCTGCTGCCCCTGGGGTCCCCTACTCCAACAGTAATGCCTGTTTATCGCAGGTGTGATTGTCATGCAAAAGTTCATACAAAAGAGTGAAGCAATGCTCCTAGGTCTCACATCTGTTGTATATCTGATATGTATGTCACCCCACTAGAGTGCCAAAGTTCAGTTCAGTTCAGTTCAAGAACTACTTTTTTTGAACCTGAACCTGAACCTAAACTGAACTTCACATGAACTGGTTCAAACCTATGAACCTGGATATATAAAATATCAAAATTCTGCAATTGTTATCTATGTCTATTTGGAGGTCCAGGGCTTTTTCTCTCACTTCTTTGCCTCCACAGCTGCAGACAAATCACCACAATCATAACTATCCTTCAAAACCTGCAGTACCTCAACTGTCTCAGCATGCAAGTTGTTGCACTGATGGTGACAGTCAAGCCACCCTCTAAGATTGAGCACTCAGAAGGGGTAGATGGTGCAAAACAAATGCAAATGCTTGTAAGTAGTACAACATACATAGATTTTGAACAAAAAAACATACCTGAGTGCAAAACAAATGTGAACAAATGAGCGCAGACAATTAGAGTGCAAATGTATGCAAACAAAGAAGTGTGGGCGATAAGCGCAAACATTTCACACACAAATGAGAATGAGGACAGGATGCAAGTGTGAATGCAAACAAATGAGATAAAGGATTGAAATCAGTATTATGGATGTAAAGAGAATAAAAAATGAACCTGCAGGATGCAGATGTGAGTGCAAACACATGCAAATGAATATTAGATTACTTGACCTTAAAACAAAAAATAATGAGACCATACCTGTGTTTCAGTGCAACATTCATCCTGAATCTCTGCATAAAACTTCAAAGTGTTGTCCTCTTCATCCTCCAGTTGTATGTTGTTGTGACCATCTGCATCTTGCTTGAGAACAGATGTGGAGGGGTCTTGGGACTCATCTTCTGAGTTGATGCACATATGAGAAGTCTTGTGCTTGATCAGTGCTAGTTTGGAATCATTTGGATCTAACAACTGACATTTGTGTTTGTGATTTGCCACAGATGATGATGACGATAATGCAGCATTTTCATGAGTAGTAAGCTTCCATGCTGGTTTTCAAATACGGCTACCAGCTACTATGGCTGCAGGTAAAGTGCCAGACTTTGTGAGGGCTGAATGAATATCAAACTGACTCAGAGCTAATGTAGATGGAGTTAATGTGATAAGAATAGTACAATTAACATATAATTACCTGGTTTAGCTGGTATTTTCAATGTTACAGAATTTTTGTTGATAGGTGTCTCATCAGATTCAAACTCATAGAATGTGATTTCAGATACATCCTTTAAAGTTCCATCTGGATTGGATGCACACTGACTTTCATCAGCATTGAACATTGTGTAGATAAATGTTTAAGAGTTGTTAGCCAAAAAAAAATTGAGTTATATGCCTGATAAAATATGGTAATTACTGTATAGTACTGCTGTAAAAGCCACTAAATATTGGCAAACAAGAGTCTAGCTGGTTCAAACAGGTTTGGACCAGTTTGAACCAAGTTCAGAGAGGCTACCTCTACCCTGAACTGGAACCGAACCTCACATCCAAGGGCTGAACCTAAATCAAAACTAAACCTGAACCTGTAGGTCCAGTTCAGAGATTCAGATTTGAACCTTAGGGTTCTGGACTTAACTTCTGTAACTCTATACCCCATTATTTCATAAATTTTCATCTCAGTCATCGCACCAGCAACAGGGGCAGAAGCTAGAAGAGTAATGCAGATTTTTTCTTCACTTGCACCTAAATGACTATATTAGTTTCAGATAGTATGGTACACTAACTTTTATTGGAGAGGTACAAGGAGAAGACAGGGCAATAAAGGGCTTAGCAATAAGATGCCTGGACTTAAGGTGCTTTGAGAATGCTCAAGAGATTTTCCCATGTGAGGTTTATACATGAGCAAGATAGTGCCAGTGGTTTCTTTTTTGACCTTACATATTCCTTTAATATCAGCTGTGGCAATCTCAGGATTTAAAGCTGGTCAGAACATAATATCAGGACTAGGAATCAACAGGGGTAAACCATTGGGTATCCTGAGCCCAACCCACACCTCTACCCAACCAAGTATACTACAAGGGTGCAAGGGTACAGGAGTATTATCACCATCTAGGCTAGAAGAGACATAGTAGGCTGACTTTAATATGTACCTATAACTTCTGCAAATGAAGGTCATTTGATTGTATTTTACTTATATCTTACTCAAATAATAACCAACTCACAATATAAAATCACAATAAGCCCAATAACCATTGTACTACTGTTGAAAACTTCAAAATTTTATACTTATCCATCACTCCTATGGTCAATTTGGGTATATATCATGCCTAGGCCCAGGGGTACAGGGTGTTATAGTTAAGGTACATTCCTACTTATTTTCCCCTCACTAGACAATGGGCCATCATTAACACTACCTCCGAGGCATGTATCACCTTCCAGTATATCACTCACATTATCACGAGAATGTCTTATCATGCTAGCAACCAACATCATGCACAGCCCTTATCTTGATAGACGGGCTCTTATCTCTTTCCTTTGCTTCCTTCCTGATATATATCGCTATGCCTGCTATTCTTAGCCTGGTCTGTGCGCACCATATGGACTATTTAAGCACAGTAATTACTGCTGGTATTTCTCACTTTAATCTACTGGGTTTTACCTGGAAACTAGTTCTTCAGTAAGGTCTCCAACCTTACTGTCTTGAACCATTATTCTAAGGCAGTCAGCGACACTGTCCTTAGCCTGAACTCTGATGCCTATATTCATAGGAAGATCCTGCTCTACACTTTGACTTGGCTATCTGGCCATTGTAGAGAAGAATGACCCCAGTCGTAACACAGGGATCTCCAGATCCAAACCCATACTCCTACCCTCAAGTACCCTTACCCCTGACCTCTAGGGGTTACCCATACTCCTGTTGATTTCTAATCAGGACAGATGAATTGTTGACTAGTGATGTGCAAGGCCCGGCTTCAGGCCGTGGGCCAGGCCCAGCCCAGCCGACTTAGGCCAAGCCTAGCCAGGCCTTGGGGTGCAGCCTATGTAGGCTCAAGGCCTGGCCTCAGGTTTGTTCAAGCCTGAGCTGGGCCTTTGAGCCGCCAACCTAATCTAGTATCTACGACCTGCGGTGATATCCAAAAAC